GCCGTTTTTTATGTTTAGCATGCATGAGGAGATCAGTAAATGGACTTTTTTTTTCATGTGCTTTTCATGTGAAGCTGAGACTAGTGGGCACATGTCTGTACAACCCTGTCTGTATTTATGAAAACAAGAAAGGGAACAAGACAGAGAGAGTAAGAGAGAATTCTGGTTTGGCATCTTCTTAGGGCTTGTTAACACACTTTGAGGCTGACCATTCTTGTATTCCCATGCCAACATCCCATCCCATAATAAAACAATATCATGCAGGGCAACTCCTGTGAATCCAGTGTTTTTCTTATGCAAACACTCAAGGTTTAGCCTTTGTCGCTTGATCCGCAGGTTTACCCTCTGTATGTCAGAGGCAGTTGTGGAGTGACAAAAAGTCTTCAATGACAATAATTACCTCATTCCATTAAAGCAAATTAGCCTAATTTACAAAAACATTGACTGCCGTTGTTGCTTCACGGAAACATCCATCTCTGTTTTTATCATGAGTGTGTTTTTTCCCCCTCCTGGCAAATGTTTTTGTTGATGCTTAGTAAGGAAGGGGAAAAAATAAAATTAACAATTTTCCCATCAACAACAGGCTGCAATTAGTGTATTCAGACCATTTGTGACAGCTGCCAAATAGCAAAATCACTCTGATTCTTGATTTAAATCTTCTAGACATCTTCAAGAGAAATTACAGAGTAAAACGTTATTATTCTCCCAGTATGATGCACTTTGTTTTTACGTTTTGAGCAGAACTTGTTAAAGTGGGCAGCATGCTTTCATGTGTCAGTGCTTATTCTGAAAACTGCATATTGGCCTCTTCCCCTCCCATTTGCAATTATTCACCAGATGAAACTGGAGCATTGAGCAAGCCATGCCGCAATTGGTGAAATGGATTCTATGCTTTATTAGCCTGTTGCATCTTTTGGCAAGAAACCGTATGGTAAATTGGATAGATGGATTGTCGTGCAAGATATTTCATGGCAGAATTTTTTTTTTTTTTTACATTTTCGCACAGCACTCTTAACAAGTGACTTGGTCCCGCAGTGATTCATGAAATCAATTTGTCTTGTTATCAGTGGGATTGTGGAAGAGAGATCAAATCAGTAGGAAGTGATTTTAGTTCCATCTTTCTTTCTTTTCAGTCCTGAGGGAAGAAAGAGATGAGCGAAGCGGCACTCAAATCTATTTGGAATGCTTTGACCCTCTAGTACTGGAAGTCTGCGAAGACTACGGTTCTGAACACTGTCAGAACAATATGCAGCTGAAGTTACACTTATGCCAAGAGGAGACTGGGGCTAGTTGTCACAAGCACTCTGTCTCTGTAATTGTAAAATTGTGTGCTATATCTAGTGGTATTTGAAATATTTTTTCAAATAGGTTTTTATTACATGAAATAGCTTAAATCATACAAATAAAAAAAGTAGTTTTTCTATCAAATTAAGATTTTCTATTGTATTTAAATGCACATTTATTTTAGAAATTGATAGATTTATATACTTGGAACTCATGCAAACCAAAAATAAGTAGATCCCTATCATTTAACCGCCACTGTAGACTAACTCATCCTCACTCTCATCACATGGAAGAGCTAAATCTGCACTATTGGCCTCTCCGTAAAATATGGTTATTTATACTTAAATACAACTATACTACAATAAACTCTTCAAATAAATAAATAACTGCAGTCATATTATTGATGCTACTATCAATAAAAAAAATCCCAATGGGGAAATACATTACTGCAAATCCACTGTGGTACAGCGCTGCCATATGGAAATATTGATATTTTCTCAATTTACAGCAAAACTATGTTAGACAAAGTTAAATTGTGAATAAAAATATCTTATTTACTTAACAAAAATGCTGCAAAAAAAATCCCACTTGAGAAGAGATGTTTAGAAATGAGGTTAATAGAGCAATTTCTGGAGCACTTCAACAGGTGTCTTCCGTGAGAGGGTGACAGTGGGAAAGAGAGTTTTGGACATACAGTACATTCAAATGTCATGTGACTTAAAAACAGCACATGATTGTCTACCTTAAGGCCTTACCATTTTAATTCCCATAGTGCAATATATTGCGCTTTTTTTTCTCAGAATAACAAGGAAATGAGTTGAAATTAATTCTTGCCATATGGCAACGCCGTACCAGATGGTTAACCCAAATTTAAGTATAATATTTTTACTATACTGTAGAAACTCTACCTATACTGTTGGGTCACGTATGTTTTAAATGCTGTTTATAACTTTATATGATTTTGAATTGCAATATTAGTGAGTCAAAGCAATTACTTTTTTTTCCATGCAGTGTAAGTCACTTTGGATGAAAGCATCTGCTCTGGAAATGTTCAATAGCTTTTAACAGACAAAAATCTTTAATTTATGTGTCTATACAGAAACTGACTTTCAAAAATGAACTTTAAGCGATAGTTCATCCAGAAATTAAAATGTGGAGAAATTTAGCTTTACATCACTTGCCCACCAATTGACCCTTCACAGGGAGTTTGACTGATAGGCGATCTGACCAATCATAATGCTGAATTTGCCAGTTTTCTTCGTCAAACAAACCAGACAGGAGAGCAGATTAACGTCAGTGGACTTGAACTTGAAAATGCTGTGTATTGACAACTTTCTGTGGTTGAGACAAGATACCCTCTGATGTTCATTTATTTTAATTTCGTGCCATAACTAGTAAAGAGGAAGAGATAATTGTTCATGTGCCGCTTGAACAGAACTGGGGTTCCTCTTTGTACCGCAATGTATTTTTCACTGCGTGAGAACATGATGTAGGCATGAGAGCGCCATGGCTGGGGGCAGGTCTTTGTGAAGGGTCAATTGATCCTCTGCAGTGAATGCCTTGTCCACCTTAACTGTAATAACTGCAATATGTTTGTACTGTATTAGTGTTGGGCGATATCCTCCATAGTCATATCGTCCTGTCGTCAGCCTGTGAGAACGCCAATACACAAAATGATCATGCTAATTAATTTTTTTATTTACTTAAATAGATTCATAGCCTGAACCAACTCCAGGGTAAGGCTAAAAGCAGCCTAATGTTAGTGTAATTTATTAACTACACATTATATATTTTTAGTCAAGCAGTATATGGATGTCATGTCATAAAATATTATAATTATAATGCTTACATATCCTCGGTTATTCAAACAGCAGCTACAGAAAACAAGCAAAGAACAATTACATTATCAAAGAACATAATCATTGACTGCAGTCTAGCGTGAGTTTATGCACTTTAAGAAACACTACCGTTATACTCAGTGAAGCTGTCTACGCTGAATGATGAATAAATCTCTTATACTTACATTGCACGTACATCGGCACTTTGTTGTTTATAATGAGAGAATTCACAAGAGAGCAGAATTCAGTCAGCGAGTGCACGCACGGAACAACAAAACTCTGATTGGCCATTGCATTCATAAACTCAACAGAATCATGTGTGATTGGTTATAACGTGCAACACTGTAAAAACGCGGAAAAATAAATATGATGGAACAAATAAGCCCTAATATTAATAAGATAATTGTACTAGCCTGATAATAATAATAATAATAATAATAATAATAATAATAATAATAATAATAATAATAATAATAATAATAATAATAATAATAATAATAATAATAATAATAATAATAATAATAATAATAATAATAATAATAATAATAATAATCGTCTTGTATCATCAAAGGCATCACCCACAGGTGAAATCACTGACTATCGTCTATACACAATACTATCATCTATCGGCACAACCCTATACTGTATATAACCATGATGATTTATTTAATAAGCAGCTTAGCATTGTAGGGGAGATAGATAATGACAAATGTGTGGGCAGTGAATGGGTGCCATCAGAATGAGAGTCCAAACACCTAATAAAAACATTAGCTGGTGTTAATTGATGGAGTGGTGTGGATTACTTGTGGATTATTGTGGTGTTTTTATCAGCAGTTTTGACTCTCATTTTGATGGCACCCATTCACTGCAGAGAATCCATTGGTGAGCAACTGATGTAATGCAAAAGTTTTCAAAATATGTTCCAATCAAGAAACAAACTCATCTACATCTTGGATTGCCTGAGGGTGAGTAATTTTTTTTTCCTTTTTTTTTTTTTGGTGAACAAGTCCTTTAACCGTAGAAATATGTATTGGAGTACAAATTGTGAAAACTAGTCCCGGTCTCCCATATACTTGGAGCATAAATGGTCCACTAAAGTTCTATGACTGAACTTCTGGTAAATGTGAAATAGAGCTCTAAAATTTAAGCTGTGATTAATCTAGACATGGCACATGGCACTCTCTCTCTCTCTCTCTCTCTCTCTCTCTCTCTCTCTCTCACTTGCTCACTCGCTCACTTTAAGTAGAGCTGAATCTGTGGAACTTTCCCTCAGGTGTAACTGAACGGACCATCTGCTGTTGTTGACCAGAACCCTTTCCAAACAACCATAGCGGGAGAAAGCATATGACTCACTCATTCTGTTTGCTATCTTCACAACTTTTAAGAAAAACTTAATTTTAACACTGCTTCTGTCAGAAAAGTGTGTTATTAAGAGAATCTCAGATTATCCTTTTTCTATATACTGTTAACATTATCAGATTTAAGTATGGTATGTTATCTTGGTATCTTATGTTTCCTGTTACGTTACTGAGTTCATTGCTTATATTATTGAATTTAGCCGCAACCGCATCATTTATTACCTATATAATTCATTTCATTTATTTATTTATTGGTCTGTATGTGGCTGAATTAAGTATTGAATCAATAATGCCTTGTCCACCTTAACTGTAATTGCTACAATATGTTTATACTGTATATAACCACAGCGTTTTATTTAATAAGCAGTCTAGCGTAGTAGGGGAGATAGGCAGTGACAAATGTGTGGGCAAGAGAAATGAAATGATGTTGGCCAAAATCAAGATTGCTTTGAACAGTTTTTGCATCTATGAGCAATGATAGTTTCATTGTTATTTAATGTCTTTCTTTCTTTCCTTGCAGTGAAGTTCGAAACCTGTCAGCAAAAAGAGGAGGTTTCTTTTGAGAGCAGTGACCCAAAGTTCAGCGTTGGGCCGGATGGCTCTCTTTATGCAGAGCAAGATGTGACAAATCTAACTGAACCAATCCAGTTCATGGTGACGGCCAGAGACAGCGTGGGCAAGTCTATCTGGGAGACCACTGTTAAACTGACCCTCGCCGGACACCCACCATCACCTCAAATTAAACAGGCAAGGACCAATTATGTGTAATTTATGTCAAATATTTATTCCTGAATATCTGATTGTGTCAGTTGTCTGTTTTATGTAAATAATTTAGCCTGAACTACTTAAGAGATTTGTGTCAACTCAATTTTGATAAACTATATATATTATCTTTATATTTTATATATTTTAAATGTAATTATATATATATATATATACATACACACTAGGGATGTTCATTTCGGTTATTTTTCCTAAATGACAACCGACGCTCGTTAACCGATTGTTAACCGTTAACCAACAAGATTATTTTAAATTAGAATTGAATTAAATTAGAAAGAATAAGTGTCTGTGACCCGTTAAAAAATACTAACATTT